GAAGAAAGAACATGAAGAAGTAAAGAATGAAAGAACAAAATGTCAGCCCGAAACAAAAATGTAGACGATTTTGGAAATACCAAGTTAGTTAGAAAACAAATTCTTTTATTTTTTATCTTGTATTATATTAGAAATTGTTTTGCTGTTGTTACTCAGATGGATAAGGAAGAAGCAAGTTTAACTTTGCAGGTAAATCAAGATTCACCAAGATTCTGCTTCTGTTGACTTCTATCCACTGTATCTAACCCACTATTTAAGAAGTAAACCTAAATACTTATTGAGAATTGGTCATTGTTGAAAATCTCCAACATAGATTTAAAAGTCATCTTTTCTCTTGTAGTTAACTTAGACATAATTTAAAAAGCATCATGAACAATTTATTTTTTATTTTGAAATTTACAAAGAATATATATTGAGTGGAGGGGGTGACACCTAGAAAAATTTCTGTCTCTGCTATTTAAGGGGGACATTGTCAGTTGTGGTTGAGAACAGTTATTTGGGTAATGGACGCACACATTTGGGGATTTTGTTGAATGGCCTTGTGCACTAGGATGTTAACAAAAACTTCAGGTAGACAGGGCAGAAAGAAAAGAGAAAAGGTTTGGTGGATTTAACCACTTCTGGATGTCAATCCTCATGGGATCAACAGCCTTCTAACACACATTTGAACAGTTGTTCTGCAAAGAAAATTTGTTGCATATAGGGACTTCTTCATTAATTTTGATCTCACCTGAAAAGATGCAGTTAAAATAAAAGTTCTTGAAAATCCTCATATATTAATTACATAACTAGCTGAAGACATTTTTGGGAAAGTTTTTTTTTTCCAAGTTTAAAAGCAAAACTTTGAAAAAGGTTTTCTGAAATAAATTCATGAAGCAGTTTTTGCTTGTTTAAAGCAAAACTGTTACCATTTAGAAGAGTTTAGAGTAACTGACACAATCTAAAAATGAAGCTACAGTTTGTATGCATAATAAATTTAGCTAATTCAAACTTTCTGATCACACTATGTACATATTACTAGACTGACTTTTTCTGACTTGACCAATCAGTCAGTCAGTTATGTGCCATGTGTGATATACATTTAGGCGATCATGTATCTTTCAATACATGACTGATGATGCAGATTTTTTCCTGTAGTAGGTTGCCATTTCTTTCTGCAGTAGACCAGTTGCCATCCAAGACTATAGAACCCGGTCTGTCCTGCTATTTACCCATAGGTGGGGAGAAGAGAAGGATTCATACCTTATCCAAGGATATTAGCATGTAAGTGAATGTAATGGATTTGACTGGAATTCAAACTCGTCTTTCCGATTCCTCAATCCAAGCCACTATCCATTGCTGTCTCTTGACCAATATGTAGCACAAATGCGTAATGAACTTAATAATCATCAAAAATCTTTTTTAGCTCATCAGTAATGACAACATATCAGGTAAGACCATAACCTTTCTCCTCTTAGTACAACAGGTGATATATTAATGAAGGATGTTACAAGATCATAGCAATAATAAATAATCTTAGAAGCAAATAATACAACAGAAATAAGTTTTATCCATTCAAAAAGTCATTTGAGATATTTTTTTTAATTCACAGTAAAAAGGAAATTACATGAAAAGAAATTGAAGTAATTCATGATGACATCAAGTTTTCACTTTTGAACACGATTTTGGAAATAAATATTTATACATTTATATTGCATTAAAAAATTCAAGAAGAAAATAAAACAATTTTTTTTCCAATTTGAATAAAAATACTGTACAGTATTAATTTACATAGATAAAGGATTTTACAGTTAAATATTTTTTATTAAATTAATGTGAAAAACTTGTTTCTATATTAAAATTTTATATAGAAAATAATGCTCAAACAAGTTGAAACATTCAATCAAAATATTACATGGGCAATAAAAACAATTATTATATTAATAATTTTGATATGTTGCTATGTTTTATTGATATGAAAATGCAAAAAGGGATTTGTTTACCACATGAATTCTTAAAAATGTTGAAGATTAAAATAATAAATGTAATATTTTTTTCATCTCATATTTCTTGAATTGGCAATATCCAATTAATATTGAGGAAACAAATTTTTGTATAAGTTTTAAAATATTTGAGCAATAACCAGAAATTTTTAAATTACAAATAAAAAGTTGTTTGATACTAAAAAAAAAATACCAAGAACAACAAAAATATACATAAATTTTTTAATATTTGTTTTTCTTTACAATAGAAAATGTTTTCAGGCCTCAAAACTTTTCTCTTGGAATAATAAAAACTTATTTTATCAGAGGAAAAATAGAAAATTAAATAAAGAACTTTTAAAAGAATATGTTGCAATCAATACTAAAGAAAAAAAAATTTAAAACAAAGTTTACATGCAGGAGATATTTTTTGTTTAATTATCAACCAAAGAAATAATAATAATAATAACAATGATAGCTCATTTACTAGTAAACCTTAATTATAAAACAGGGCACCAACCAAACTTAGTAAATAAATATTTATAATTCAACTATTTAAGGCAAATCAAATATTTCTTTTGCCCTCTGAAAGAATCACACTAAATATTAATATTTAATTAATGACTAAAAAGTAAAAATGACAATTTCAGTTACAGTCTTCTTCATAAATCAATTATTCTTATTTATATTTTACTATATCTGACAGCATATAAGACTTCTTACATACATTTAATATTACAGTATTATAGCATTAAGCTTGCAACAAGTGCTGGTAGCCTATGGCATTTGGGCAAACATTAGGGTAATACCTTAAATTTATTTTTAAAACTTTTTTAGCCATTGATGGGGATCAACTTCAGTTCTGTTAAGAAACAACAGCTTAACTTTGTCTTTATTTTCAGTTTATTGAATTATCTTTTATGCTTTAAGAAGAATTTTGATGAACAGATGGTCTGCCATTATTAAACTCAGTTTATGTTATTGAATATATTGAATAGCAATTTTAAACAGTATATCCCCCCCCTTTCCTTTCATCTTTTGTTTTTCCTCAAATCTGTAGCTACGTGGAGTGAAAAGTTCTTGGACTGATCTAATTCGTAAAATCTCATCAAATAACAAAAGAAATCGATTTTTTTTAATTCAAGTTAAAAATTTCTTTAGAATTCAAGAAAAGACTCAAAATATACAATAAAGATTTTTTTCTTCACAAAAATGCTTTCAAAATCACATTTAAAGATTTCACAGAGATGTTAGTCAATTTACTCTTATAATGCTTCCCCATTTTATTTTTTATAAAAAAAAAATCTTTTAATGAAATGTTTTATTATTTTCATCAAGTAACCAACCTTAAAAACACAAGATGTCTATATAGCACGAATGAATAATAAAGACATTTGTTTTTAAAAATGGTTTTAAAACATGTTTACATTTTTTTTTAATGGATTCTTTGCAGAATCCACCTTCATCAAGAATATCATTTACAACCATCCAAAATGACAATCCTGAAAGCACTTGAAAGATTTATATCTTAATAAATTTATTTTAAAATACTAATTAAAAATGCCTGGTCAGAGGAATAAACCAACATATTTGGAATTAATATTGCAAACAATATTATTTTATTATAAAAAAAAAAAATTAAAAATTAACGGGCAAAGTAAAAAATCAAAGTCTGGCTTCACAAAAATGAAAATATAGAACATTAGTTGCTTTTTTTCATCATTTTTACAGATTATTATTTGTCAGCAAAGTTAGAAAGAAGTTTGAAGCATTTTTAAAAAGTGCACAAAACAAAAAAAAAATGAAAAAATTCAATGGAATACGTTTTTATCACATCAAAATATAAAAATTTTATCCGGAGAAACGTTCATAAATAATATTTGTTAGTTAGATTTTTGATCACATGATCATGATTCAGCCAAATCCTTGATACATTTAATATTTATTTTTATAATAGTTTAGATTTTATTTCATATTTGGAACAGAATGAATGGAAACCCTTGATATCAGATTTGAACCATATAACTTTGATGATGGATATAATGAATTATTATCACAGGGCAGTGTAAATATAAATCAGTGTTCATACTGAAGGAAGAAAAAGTAAAAAAGTTGACACATTTCAAATGAGATTCAAATAAATGGATTTAAAATGGTTTTTCATTACAACTCATAAAAATCTGAGGATAACATTTTCAAAGTAAAAAGATGCATATCAATAAATACTGAAAAAACAACATAATTTAAATACATACACCCTATATATGTTTTATTTATTTATATGAATATTTTTTTTAAATTATACAATCTTTGATGATTGTTATTAAACATTTGCCATAAAACAAAAATAATAAACATACAATTGTAAGGCTAAGAGCAAAGGGTTTTTTTTTTGTTTTTAAACTAGAATAGATACAAAAAAAAAACAAAACATTTTTAACAATCTCAGCATATTTTCATTACATTACAATAAAATCAGAAAACCCTTTGCTTTATTTTCTGAATTAAATCACCTTTTATTTGATAAAAAAAAGAAAATCTTGCTTATGGCCTGAGGAAGAATCAGACAACAGTTTTGATTAAGAAACTTGCAACTTGAAATTGCTTCTTTCCTGTTTATTCTATGAATAGGGAAACAAATAAGGATTTTTCAATTGTTCTATAAATCTATTAATACCTACCTACCTATGGTGTGCATCCTGTTTAAAAAGAAAAAAAAATAAATAAATAAGGCTTTACCTACTTGAAAAGTTCAAAGAGTTAAAAGAGTGATAAAGCTCAAAGAAACAGGTTTGACTTTTTGTTGTTTAAAATTAAAAACAAAAATCTTCAGTTTCTCCCAATGTCAGCAAAAAATGTTTTATAAACAAATGTGATTTAAAAAAAAAACAAAAACTTTGATTAGTTAAAAGCAGTTAAAAATTAGTAAAATTTGATAAAAAGATATATATTTGTCAAAACAGCAGAGAAATAAATAACAAAGTATGTATATTTGTAAAAAAACAAAAAAAAAAATTTGTACTTTGCAGAAGAGAAGTTTCAAGATAAATTTGGGTATGGGGTGGACAGTGGAGTTTGATGGTTGTATCCATGCATTGCATTATAACTATGGTAATTCTGATAGCCCTGAGCATCCAGTTGCCTGGTAGGGGCTGATGGTTTGGGATGCATGTTACTATAGTGACTGTTATTTGTCAGGTTGGAATACTGATATTGTGGAGGTACATTTGAGGCTGGTGGTTGATATTGATGGAAATGTGATGGTTGCTGGTTGGGTGGGCCATATGAATACTTGTTGTTCAGATCCAATCTTTCTTCTTGGACTGCTTGACTGGATAGGGCAACACCAATTCCTGATGACTGACAGGCAGGGTGGCTTGTACTGTCCACTTCAGCATTATAACAATCAGTACAGAAGAAAGTCAGTGTCCAGCAAATCACAGCCAAAGTGATTACACTGACCCCCACAATGGCCATGATGGCAGTGTATGAGGTAGACGACTCCAGAACATTTGTGTCTGGAAAAAAAATAATGTAAAATGTTAAAAAAAAATAAATGATCACAACATATAATTACTGCTTTTCATTTTATTGCAAATATACTTTTAAAAATACTAATGTATTTAATGGTATATAAGGCACGAAAAAATAATGCAAATATTACACACCTTCTAATACCCTAGTATTATAACTGAGTCTATCTACTAAAGCTCAAAATTGGTGGGTGGGTGGTGATTAGAATAGTTTTTGTAGATTAATATTCATTAGACCTTCCTCAAGCTACAACATTTATAAGAATTAAAAACATTCATTTATTGATCTAGAAGAGGGATCCTGTTCATAATATTAAAATTAATTTCTAACTTTTTACAGATTTAATGGAATAAGTTGTTATTTACAAATTTCAAGTTTGAAAATATCCTTACATCATGGGTAACTGCATATTTTTTTAATTTTCTGAATATTTAAAAGAGAAAATTTTTTTTTTAGTGGTGGATATTTTTTGGAAGCACATGTGAAAACATTGGGGATAATATTTATTATGAAGAATAAACAGATATATTCTTTTATTAACATAGATTTTCATTCTTTAACTAATTCCAGATAATTCTGTAAAAATCAAGGATTGATTTTACACTGTAGCAATATTATGAACAGGACCCTCACTTCTATATTCTGACAACTGTCTAACAAATAGTAATCTATAAAAATTGTTTCCTCCCCAATTTTTTCTATAATTTTTATTTGCAGACAAGCTTACTTAAGTAGTACCCACATTTCAAATAAACATTTTTAATATGCAAATGCTTTTAAAAATGAGTTCATCCTTCTTACTGCTTTTGTAAAATATGTTGATGTTTAAGTTAAAAATAAGTTTGATTATTATTTGGCTTCAAGGAATGACACTGATTATCTAAATCATTCTATTTTCATCTTTAAGTGAATAAAATACTAAAACTGATTTTACAGAGAAAAACTCCACTGAATTTGTTATCTTGTAAACACATGTAAAAGGCTAATTATAGTAAACTTGTTTCACTGCAAAATGCTGGTCAGTAGAGAAAAAAAAACATTTAAAAGATAAAAGTTCAAGATAACTATTTATAAATTTTTATAGTAAGCACTGTATTTTATGAAAAAGAAGAATTAATTTAGAAATTCAATATTTGTTTATAAAAATAAACATGTCCATTGTACAAGGCAGCAACAATGATTCACTGGAAATTGTCAATGCACACCAACAGTATATGTACAAAAGAGAAGTTGTTCTACAAAATACAAAAAGTAAAAATTCTTTAGGATTCTGAAATTCAAATGAATCACTTAATCCAAGCCTGAAGCAGGGTTCTCACCCTCTAAAATTAAAAAAATAAAATAATGCCAAAGAATGCTCCAAACAGGAATGCTTAGCACATCTTTATTATTAAGATATACAAAATAAAAGATAAAATTATCTACTTTAAAAAGAACCAATTTTAAATGAAAGTGTAAGTCACTTTTCCACTGCCATAACTGCTTCCCTATATATGTTCTTTAAGTTGTTTCATTGTAATTGTTCAAACAAGATTTTCTCTTTGGTATTTCAACTTGGCAAATTCAAGTACAGTACTATATTAGCAGCTAGGTCTCATAGATATGGTGAGAATCTACTACTCAAATTACATAAGAATTAGCATTAAACAGGAAACACCTAACAGACACCAAAATTCTCATCTTGGGTGTCTATAATGCCGCTATTAGAATTACTCAAATAGAATTTTAATTGATACCAAATGATACTACTCCTCAAATTACATAAGAATCAGAATAAACTGGAAATACATAAAACACACCGAAATTATCTTCCTGGGCACTTCTAATGCCATTATTAGAATGGACCAAACAGAATTTTAATTCATATCAAAAGAATACTCGACGTCATAGTGAATAGATATGTTTTTCATTGATCCGAAAAAGCGATGTGTGTATTTTTTAAAGAATGGAAATGATGATTATTTTTATATTTATCTGTTTATTCTTATAGTATTATTCATTGTTTAACATATGATTATAAATTTTTATTTCATATATGGAGGGAAAAGAGATCACCGAAGTTGAAATAATAGACAGAGAACATCACTGGAAAATACAAAAACTTAAGGAATCAGCTTATATGCTAGGTCACAAAAATCTCCTAAACCAGCCAAGCATAGAAATGAATACAATATGGGAACCAGTAATATAAAATGCTAGAGAAAAACAATAACAACAAATTGTAATATGAGCACTGGTAAAAAATTGTTACTGAGACCCCAAAATTCATATACTTATGTCCTCAAGGACACTTGATCCAGTGGATAAAAGTGTTGGTTGAAGTAATCCAGTGACTTGAGCTGAAGAGTTGTGAGTTCAGGTGAACCAAAATCTTGGAGAGTTGAGTTAAAAGGAAATAATTGATACTGAAATATGACACAGAAGTGGCATGATATGTGGAACTAGAACAATCTATCCCTGTGTACAAAAATAAAGGGTTTGGTTTGAAATGCCAATAAATGGCTGAAATGTTGTGAATATGGCAACAAAGATTGAAGACAACAGTCTGAACATATTAAATAGCAGAATACACCTACATTTTCCAAACTCAAGAAAACCCTAGAACATTTATTTCGATGCAAGATTGTTACATTTACCTTTGACACTTGAAGGAGAGAAAAAAAAGGTATAAAATCAAAAGGAAGAGAGAGTATAAAGAGAGAAGGTATGGTCAAAAGAAAATTAGCGACTCTTGTCAGACACAATTTCAGATTGAGTATTTCTTCTTTCTACACCAGTTTCTTGGTATTTATCATTGTTCCCTGCCTTGTATCTGCTTCATTCGGTTGTTCTATCACAACTGAACATATCATACGATGTACCTCAACAGAACTCACTCTCTTCTCCAAGATGGTCTCCTTATAATCCCAAATCACCTATCACCTGACCGGATCATAAACATGCTCGACATCCGGGCACCTCAGAATCGAGCATCAACATATCCGGATGTCCCTCCTCGATTCCGTCCAGTTACGCTAATATTATGTAAAATTGTTAATGACCCAATTTCTTGTGGGACAACAAAGAAGGGTCTCGTTTGATGGAATGACGCACTTGCCTTCTCTCAAATTTAAGTCCTACATGATGCGAGACAAAGACGAACTCGCTTTTGTCAAGTCTAGTTCACCATTTCTACCATTCGACTCGGGTTCTACTTCACTATGTCTGATGCACAAGGAAAACGATGAAAAGGAGAAAGAATCACAACATGCACACACACACACAAAATGAAAGCCAAAAAAAAAAACTTACACTAATAAAAAATGCATAAATTATTTTTTAACTTAATATAAAAATAATAAAAATGAAAATGAGAAAATAAGCAATCACTTGCAGGTATAGATGGATTGATTGCTGGAGAGTCCATCTACAAAACTAGAGTTGAGTTGCTGAATATAACACCAATCAGTTAAGTGACAAATTTTATATTTGTATTAATCTTATATGTGTTCTTTTCTTATTTATTGATTGATTTCTATTATTTATCATTTAAACAAACATTATGATAATAGTAAGAATAAGTGGTCTGTTTGATGACAAACTCTTTACTCTGATGTTCAGTGTAATATATATATATATATATACACATACATACACACACATACATACACTTGTGGACAGAATTATTTACCCCTCCTCCTCTCACTGAACTATTTACTAAGGAAATGTGTATATTTGTGCAGACTTACTGAATTTGCAATAAATAGTTGACTCTATATTTAGTTTTGAATAATTCATGAAATTCTTAGAAGTTTGGATCTATTATATTCATAGTTATAGATTTTTTAAAAGTTGGTGCAGTCCCAAATTATTCATCTTCTGTGAGAGAAGCAGTCCAGAAAGTCAAAATTGAAAGAGTGAAAAGTTGATAAACTATCTGGACATTTGCCAGAGAACTATAGAAATTGTAGATTATGAAGTCAACGGTTCTACTCATCATTACTGGAACAATTGAAAAGGTCCCAAAGTGTCTTGCAAAAAAAAAAACTGAAATAGCAAAAATACTAGGGAGTGTGTTGTCTTTACTCACCAGATAATCAGAATATTACCACATCGATATTATTTGCAGAATAAATTTCTTGCATGTCTAGCATAGAGTAACAGTTAACAAGCTAGTCTTACCAAGCCATTTATTAGCATAGAGTTCTGTTCTTGAGATCTTGTGCTAGACTAAGTTCAGAAGTGGTTGCTTCAAATCAGTCAGTTTGATTTAAATCCCATTTCTCTGCATGAAATTAAACTGCTTCATTTCCATTAATTTGGTTCTGCTCTTGAAATAAAGACATGTTAAATCTGTAACCTTTTATACTTTAGTTTGCCAAATATTATAATGTGAAAAAAGTTTCAGTGACCTTGTTTGGAATGAGTATTGTGGGAGTTAACCTTTGATTTTGATGTGTATAGACATTTTATATTAACTATTTATGGGTTCCTGGAACATTTATCCTGTAAACAATATTGGTGGACTCATGTGAGTCTAGGTAAAAACAAGTTACAAAACAATGAGTTTAAAACAAACGACAATGCAGGTTATTGACAAAAGAAATTACATGTTTACACAATGTACTTGTATGTGTAAGAATTCAGTTAAAAGAGGACCATAAAAATAAACATGCCCTTGTGGGAGACACTTTACCCATGAGATAGAGAGAGACTGACTTCTTATAGACTTAAAGAGCACTTTCTAATATGTTTTTGGCAAAGCCTAGTGGGGTAACTCATATGAACCCCACTGTTTCTTGTGAACATATTTATATCTGATTAAGTGGAATCTTTCAGTTACTTGGATTTTACTCCTGTTTTCATCATATGTCACATATGACAATTTTGGCTTGATTCTCTGAATCAAAAACTCTGCTTCTGATGTCACTCAACTGCCAACTATTTATACTTCCTGGCCCTGGGCTAAATAAAAGTACCAAGTGGTAACATCACAGTGATAAAG